AAGTGGAAAGAACTAATTTACAACGGTTGAATACAAAATAAATGATGGAAAAAGTCAAATGATGAAAGACATAACCAAAAATAAATGATAGGAACAGAAAATATAAATAAAAAAATGAAGGATATACGGGTGGATCTGTGAAGATACAGTTGGCGAAAAAGGATATAAAAAGCACTAAAAAAACCAACAACACTGTATATCCTAAATGTCGGATCTATCAAGTAGATACAAGGTCACGGATGGAAATTTATAAAAAGCACTAAAAATGACCAACGACACGAACAATAAAAATTGTCAAATTTTCGGGACGCCCTGTCCCTTCCTCAGGACAAAGAAAAGAGTTAAAAAGTCATAAGAACAAAGGAAAAAGTGAAACAAAAAACAACTAGCACTACTACTAAACTACTAAACACTATATATTTACATACTTAGTTACATGTTGATTTGGAAATTTTTAAGAACACTATTAACTAAAGAATCCGGACCGCTATGAAATGCGTCCGGTCTATCGGGTATACTCGATAGACCGGACGCATTTCATAGCGGTCCGGATTCTTTCTTTAATAGTGTTCTTAAAAATTTCCAAATCAACATGTAACTAAGTATGTAAATATATAGTGTTTAGTAGTTTAGTAGTAGTGCTAGTTGTTTTTTGTTTCACTTTTTCCTTTGTTCTTATGACTTTTCAACTCTTTTCTTTGTCCTGAGGAAGGGACAGGGCGTCCCGAAAATTTGACAATTTTTATTGTTCGTGTCGTTGGTCATTTTTTAGTGCTTTTTATAAATTTCCATCCGTGACCTTGTATCTACTTGATAGATCCGACATTTAGGATATACAGTGTTGTTGGTTTTTTTAGTGCTTTATATATATATATATATATATATATATATTTACAATCAAATAATGTAAATCCTTAGAATAACAACTAAATATTCCATTACAATTCATCAAAAAAATAGATAACATTTTTCTTCCAAAGTGCATCACCGATTTTTTGCCAGTGCCTTTCATATTCCATATATCTATGTGTAGCTTTGTAATAGCGAAACCTTTTCTATAAAAATTCTCTCTATGATCCTCTTTATATAAATATAAATATTTAATTTAGGTATTCTTTTATATTTACTATCAAAAATAGTTTCACAGTAGGTATTATCAAGTTTTGTAATTTACATATATTATTGATCTCATATCAAAACATCTGATAATTTCTGATACTCTAGCTTATTTTTCCCTTTCTATACCTTTTTCTATTTCAAGAACATTTTTAAACGACAAACATCATTGATTTTTAACACTGCTAAGAACTTTGCTAATTATGCTGTGTATACACACGACTTTAAACTCGAAACAAAAGAAGACACCTAGAATCAAACACGCATGTTTCATGTTTGGATATTTCACTAGAAAATGGCGTTAATGAGTACCAAACAGCAAAGCTTTATGATGAACGTGATGACTTCGAATTTCCAATCGTAAACTTCCCTTTCGTATGTAATAATATGCCCTCATCATCTGCATATGGGGTTCATGTCTTCTAGTTGATTTGATACACAAGAGCTTACACTACTAGGAACACTTTCTAGAGACAAGGAATCGAAGAATAAGTTGATGATTAAATGATATCAAGAGTCTCGTTTCTTAAATGCTTTTGTCAAGGGCCTTTTTAGCAAATACAATATATCGTTTAATTGAACGTCGACTAATGTTTTTTTTTTTTTTTTTTAAAAAAAAAAAGTTTAGACCATTATTTTTACATTGAATTTTTTCAATTGTCTCGGTTTTTATGTTTGCTCGATCATGACAACGGGCACACGGCATGTGTTTATTAATGCTTATTCCTCAATTAAACCTGAATAAATCTATAATGTTGTAAGAAGTTGGTGTTTGCTTTGCCCCCCCCCCCCTTCCCCCATTGTATTTTTCCTGTGATTTTTTAGCCTGATGATCCTTATGTTTTATTAAAAACAATTAGAACTGATCAAAATATCTACAAGTATGTAAATTTTTGAATCCATTTAAATTGTTCCGTCCTCTTACAACATACTTAATTGTATTATAAGTAAGAAAAGTTATGTATACATATCACTGTAATCCTTGAGAAAAAGATCTGAGGACCTGTTTAACAGAGCAAGGTTTGCGAGCGATCGCCAAAAATTCCTTATTCCTCCAACAGAAATGTTCGCGAGCACTCACTCTGTTGAACAGGTCTCTGGATCTTTGGGCCCATTTACAGCTCTGTCTGACTCGAGAAACGTGGCTTGAAATATTTTGCACAACTTGAAAATAGTTTAAAATATCTTTGAAAGATAATTTTTCAGATGCTGTTGAGTAGAGTAAACATTATTTCCCCAAAAATCAGCATTTTTTTCGTAGAAGTTTGGACTTCCTTTATGGCTTTAATATAGTAATTTTGAATCTACAACACGAAAGAATTTATATGCAATAGAGCTATTGATTTTATATTACTGTAAAATAAAAATCTTCAAATTACTGCATTCTTCATATCATCCCTTTAATGATATATTTGAATAATTAGGATTTGAATCATGGTCTGAAAGATTGTATATAGTGTATTTTAAATTGTCCCAATGGCATGAAAAGTAAATGGACGACAACATACACAGTGCGTCATATGAACGTATATCAGTTGACGTATAATAAGTAGAATTTATGAATGTAAAATATATAGTATACATCATGCATCTTTGTTTATATATAATATTTTACCAGTCTCGTAATAAGGAAATGAATTAATTTTTGAAAAGTCATAACAACATGACCTATGACGCTTTTCGTCAGAAAATTTCACGAAAAGCGTTTGCTTGTATATCACAAGTAAGTAAAAATGTACAAAGGTTTAAAATATAAGAACATAGTTGTGCTATACTATTGATAGCACACATCATCTTTATGCTTAAGGTGTGTTATAAACCTTTTTGCAGCCATTAATGCATCTTTCTACGTTTAGAAATAAGCTGCCTACTCAGTATTCTGCTAAATCCCTCTCTTTTCAAGTTCTGATTTGTAACTGCTGAAAAATGCATGGAACTCTATTTAAAAAAACAGATAAAAGCTCTATACCAGCAACAATCTCATGTGTCATCAAAACTGTTGCATGCAACTGATACTTACTCTGGTGCATGAGCTGCAATTCATCCTATGAAATTAATTGCAGTATATGCTTCAGCCTTGATATTGGTGACAATTAGACAGATATCTTTGTGGACTGACGTCAAACCCTGTCACAAGGAAAGTCTGTCGATACGTGGTTACCTCTCAAACAGATCTCAAAACATATATTTGTCAAAGATTGTTTTTAATGTCACTCAAATAATTCATTCAATGCTACTTTAATACTTAAATTTTAATGATTTTATTTTATCATGTTTTCTCTTTATACAGTGGATACCAATTGCCATTATTGGATACTGTTTACCTATTCCTTTTTTTTTTTTTTTTTGCCTGCAGAAATTATCCAAACGCTAGGAATAATCTTTTTAATCGCCTATTTTTACTTGACGAATTGGTTAATATTGACACAAATTTGTTATTATGTGGTGATGTAAATTTGCCTGTAGAAACAAACACGTATATTTTTGCTGCTGTGCATAAATTTATTGACGAATCTTGTAGATTTTAAATTGTTATATTTCTGAACAAATATTTCACTTGTATCTCTTTTGTATTTATATCTCAATGTACTACATGTATTTTAATTGCATGACATATAGTTATATTTAAGGAGAGGAACTCGTAAGTTGAAAGAACTTGTTTCCATTCCTTTTGTTCATACAATAAAATATGTTCAAAACAAAACACCTATTCCTTGTGATGTCATATATGTAAGCACGTATGAAATTGGAAGATATGGGGTATTTGAGTATTATTTTAAATAGTTTAATTAATGTTTCTTTTCAAGGAGGGTCTTTTGGTTGTCTTTTAATTTTTTTTATAATATCTTTAAAGTGTAATGCAGATTGGAAGCAGACTGGAAAAGATGTAAAATCCATAAAAGTAAGAAAATTTCTATGGATTATGATCAGGTATGAAGTAATTTAATAAATCAATTATGATAGGTGATTTTCATTTAAGTTTCCAAAAAGTATCCTTTTAATGTATAAATGACCAACGAAAAGAACAATAACACAATTTTTATCGTTTGTGTTGTTGGTCATTTTCTGTGCTGTATATAAATTTTGTTCCCATACGTAGTAGATTCGACACTTAGAATATATAGTGTTGCTCGTTTTCAGTGAACTTTTTCGAATTTTGTAAGCATTCAAAAATTTTGCAATAGATTAATTTGCTAACTTAATAATGCTTTTTTCGTCATAACCACTATCATTGTTCTAATGAGAAGTAATCTCCAAAAAATCATTTCCTTGAATTCCAAACCCTTTTCAGTATTCCTTGTGGATTGTCTATTTATTATTATAAATCTACAATTTTCCTCTCCCTGAGCAGAGTTCTTCCGTCGGCAAAGTAATTAATGCAAAGATTCTGAATAACAAACCTGAAGGTACATGTTTCTTTCATTAAATAAAAGCAAAAACACACCAAGTTTCGGATGTATATTGAGTACCAGGAGTTCGTCTTTGGTTTCAGTGTCTCGTTAAATTGACGTTTCTTTTCTCCCTTTCAGACATTCCCCCCTGAATCAGAACAATCAGCGACCTTCTTTCTCATGTAGATTTAAGATTTAAATAGCAGCGGAACATATCAAGACTGGCATTTAACTTGCTTTGATTTCATAGCTTAATTATTTACCGAAGATTTTAAAAAAAAGTAGGATTGCCATAAAAAACTTTGAATGAACGTGCATTTAATTAAGCTTGCTGCTTTTATTTAAAGACAAAAAAATAATATACACTATATATATTGCTCAGGTATATTTAACAGAAAGTGATGATGTGTAAAATTTTTAGCGTTGTCCTCTTTGATATTAACTAAATGTCAATTGCGAACCAACTGTCATTAAACTAATAACAACCCTGTACCATATCTGTAAGGTTAGGATCCTATGATTTATCCTCTCACGCAGTGCCTGAATAACTGTGGCAGTCAAAAGTTACTTTTGTGTCTGTATATATATATAACTATTTACTGAAACAAAACCACTTTTGAGGACTGATCCCGTTATTGTGATGTAGGAGATCCGAGACGACGGCTTGGTTCGGTGAACACGGCAACATGAAAACAAATCCTTTCTTAAATGGAAGTAAGGAAGTTAAAAAGATATACTTTAAAACTGTGTGTAAATATACCGTATACTCCTCGAGGCTTTTCAGTAAAGAACCTAAAGTGGACGAGTCAAAACCCTGAATTTAACTGCAAAGTTAATTTTTGTGCATTTTGAAATTCTAAATTATGGAGAATATAACAAAGATATTGAATGAGAAGTACTCCGAAGTGGTGCTCCCAAACACCGTGCTGTTGGCAGTAGGGATGACGATGGGAGCCGTGGGGAATATAGCCATCATCTCACTCTACGTGTCCAGGATAAAGGATAAAAAGGGAGACCGTTACTTTATACCTGTGCTCGCTTTCATTGATTGCCTGGGCTGTGTTGCCAATGGATCATTTTACACTACAGATAACGCCTTCCTCTTTTTGTATCCTAGTGAGGTTCTTTGTCGTGTGTTGATATTCCTCTTAACCTTTGCATCAGGATTCTCCGCTCATGTTCTTTTGGTAATAGCCTTGCAGAGGTACCTTCTAATTTGTCGACCATTTGGCAAACAACTGACTTTGAACAAAAGAAGGATTTCTCTTGGAATAATCACAGTGGCCTGTCTCGGGTATGCCTGCCCATTGTTAGGCATAGGTGGCATCAGGCACACCAATTCCACTTTTCTGAACCAGACGTTTGAGAGCCACATGTGCGTGCTATCGGTAGAGACGTCCTTTGGGACACTGGTTTACTTTGGGACAATGGCTTTAATCACTGTGGCAAACATTCTGGTAACCGCAGGGCTGTACATTCCAATAACAAGAGCTATTTACAGGACATTTTCATTCCACAAGAAAAATATATATAAAGACAACAAAGACAGGCGGATTTCCGATAGCCAGAGTAGCACTCAGATCTCTCACATATCATTATCAATCGAGGAAATAAACGTCAATCAACAACAGAACATAAGTATACATCATCCAAAAGGCGAAATACAGCAAAAGTCCTCAAGGAAGGAGGGAAGAACAATTCATAGATCAAACACTGACGCCAGGAAAGAGAAAGTAAAAGCGAAGATAAACTTAATGTTTCTGATTATCATTTTGGTGTACATACTGTCATATATTCCTACTCTTGGGATTCTTATCGCGACTTACACCCTGAGTGATTTTACTTATCTCGAACTGTCTACGGCGGGTATTAATCTGTGGCTGTTCTCTGCCCGTTTCCTGCTGCTGAATCACGTGATCAACCCCTTTATATATGGGTATTTTGATATCAAGTTACGGACTGAATTCGAAAAACTTTGCTGTGGTTTTGTGAAACGAAAATTGGATCATTCTGTGGATAGTCAAACGACTTAATTCTTTACTATGTACTTTTTTTTGTTTTCAGTGTTGCCCTAGAAAAGAAATGCGACCAATTAAACCAAACGAATGTCATGTTGACTAAGCATTGTATGCATTTACATACTAATCAGCGTTACTGGCAATATTTGGAATGAGGTTCAAAGGGTTCATGACCAATTTAATGTATTTTTAACACTGTAGTTTTAAATTACGAGAAATTAAAAAAGATACATTTTTGCTCAATATAAAATTTTTATTTGAATGTATAACCACTAAATAGCGATTTCATAAATACAATTGCATTAAAAACAATAACTATCAATAAAACATTAAGCAAAATACAAAATAACAAAAATAATTAAAAAATAGTGCGAAGTAGGCGAAACAGTCTGCCTTCTAATACTGTAATGGTGTGTGAGCTCTGTATTGCACAGCCCGGGAAAAACAAGCGGGCGGATCCTGAAATGTAAATAGACAGTCGATGTTTGTTCAGTAGATTTATCCTGGTTAGAAAGAGAGTCATCGAAATGAGTGGATGACGAAAACCAACTTTCCTCTCAAGGTTAGCTGCGATTTAGTTTGAAGTGGGTATGCTATCAAGGGAGCGAAATTAAACAAAATATCGATTTATTTTACATAATAAAGACAAATTGCTTGATAATCACTTCAGGGATCCACTACACTGAATTAAAAAAAAATTTCAGGGTTAGCTGTAGAATACGACATAATGGCATTCACAGTCTTTTGGATTTAAAATGTAAAGAACCTGAAACCTATCCGTCACAAATAAGATCAAATTTCTTTTTTCAATCGTCTAAGTATCTCCAGTACAAACTCATTAATGAAGTATGGATATAACAGATATCCAGCTCGCTCAAAAGTTTCGGTTTTTCCCGTTAACATTTGATTTACTTGCACAAATGGCAAAAATGAAACAAATTATGGACAAAAGTTTGAATAATATTATTAAAAAAATATTAACCACAAATTTTTTTTCAACAGACTCACATTTGAGACACAGTATTAATTTTCCCCAATTTTTTACTGTTTAAGTCAGAATATGTACATGGAAAAAATGCCTATCTATGAGATAAATTGTCATTTTCTATTGTCATTTTTTTTTCATTTCATTCTCACAACTTTTTGTCTTACAAAACATATTTCAGTCCATAACATTGCAATAAAAACCCACTCCAGTTCATGCGTTTTGTCTTTACCTTTTGCAAGATGTGCTTAATGTAAATAGGAATTAGACATATTGATAGAAATAAGTTTATTTACATTCATATGTCTCTTTTAATTGACGGAACTAATAATAAATCTACTTGTTTCTGAAGAAAAAATTACTACGCATCAGTCAAGAGATAAATTAAATTGATACAATTTTGCATTTAGGAAGAAAAAAAATACAATATACAATGTACAACAGAATGATTTTTAATTTCTGGTAAGTAATGATAGGTAAAATCTTTTATAATAGTACAGTCTATCTATTTGAAGAAAACATTTTGTTCTTATATAAAGATGACGTTAATACTCCTGCTAGACATACATTATATATTTCACAAATAATTTCCTTGTTGATAGGTATCATTTCTAAATTGCAAATAATTTCCTTATTAATCAGTTTTAGTAAAAAATAGCCTGATCAAGACACATATGAATTAAAATACGGTATATTTATTTCCTAAATTGGTTAAAAGGTATGTAATTAGGTATACTGCAGAAATTTTATCGTTTTCTTTCTTCACCAAAGAAAAATGTTTTAAAACATAATCAAATTAAAGATCTCATGCCATTTCTGTTCAAATATCATGCAACTTTTTAAAAAAAATTAAAGTTGTACCAAAGAAAGAAAAGAAAAGAAAAAGATTTACGACAAGAACTTAAATGAATACTAACTTTACTCTCGATTTTCAAAATTACGATAGCAGACAAAATATACTTAGCACATGCTATCTCCGATTTTATGTCATTATGTTTCATCACTCCCACACAGTTCGTTTCTGGTTCCAACATGTTGTAGAACCCTAGAGAGCATTTCATTTTGATAAAAACTACATTGTTCAGTACAGCATTTGACTGGCTGACGTAATTTGACTGGTTGTCGTGATCTCAAATGAAAAAATATACGAAAAACTTCATATTACTTCAGTTTTTGAAATGATGAAAAGTTTCACTATTCCATGGCACCTGAATCCATCTCTGATGTTTTGGAGGTCCTTGTTTGCTCTGCTCCTACTTTGTATTGTTTTAAGGAATTTGATCTTGAATATTGTTCGTTATCTCCAAATGTTTCATAAATGACTACTCGTATATGTTGCAATCCTTAATTGTGCTATTATTACAA